AGGTTAGGCATTCCTTCAGACTTCTCGGTGAAGACCGAAACAAAGAAGTCATTAAGCATCTCTGCCATTTCCAAGTTTCCTGTTACTGTTTCTCCCTCTTCACTAAGCAGTGGGCCTACTTTGGTCTTCCTCTTGCTTCTAATGTATTGATAAAAAGTCTTCTTGTTTCCCTTTATTCCTGTGGCTAGTTTGAGCTCATTTTTTGGCTTTGCCTTTCTAATCTTGCCCCTGCATTCCTGTGTTGTTTGCCTATATCCATCCTTTGTAATCTGTCCTAGTTTCCATTTTTTAATATGACTCCTTTTTATTTTTTAGATCATGCAAGATCTCGTGGTTAAGCCAAGGTGGTCTTTTGCCACATTTTCTATCTTTCCTAACCAGCGGAATAGCTTGCTTTTGGGCCCTTAATAGTGTCCATTTGAAAAACTGCCAACTCTCCTCAGTCGTTTTTCCCCTCAGTCTTGATTCCCACGGGACCTTACCTATCAGCTCTCTGAGCTTACCAAAATCCGCCTTCCTGAAATCCATTGTCTCTATTTTGCTGTACTCCCTTCTACCCTTCCTTAGAATTTCAAACTCTATGATTTCATGCTCACTTTCACCCAAGCTGTCTTCTACTTTCAAATTCTCAATGAGTTCCTCCCTATTTGTTAAAATCAAGTCTAGAACAACTTCCCCCCCAGTAGCTTTTTCAACCTTCTGAAATAAAAAGTTGTCTGCAATGCAGTCCAAGAATTTGTTGGATAGTCTGTGCCCCGCTGTGTTATTTTCCCAACATATATTTGGATAGTTGAAGTCCCCCATCACTACCGAATCAGTGGTTCACAGTCATGCTGGAAGGGCATAACGAGTGGGGTCCCGCAGGGATTGGTTCTGGGTCCGGTTCTGTTCAATATCTTCATCAATGATTTAGATAATGGCATAGAGAGTAAAGTTTGCGGACGATACCAACCTGGGAGGGGTTGCAAGTGCTTTGAAAGATAGGATTAAAATTCAAAATGATCTGGACAAACTGGAGAAATTATCTGAAGTAAATAGGATGAAATTCAATAAGGACAAATGCAAAGTACTCCATTTAGGAAGGAACAATTAGTTGCACACATACAAAATGGGAAATGACTGCCTAGGAAGGAGTACTGCAGAAAGGAATCTGGGAATCATAGTGGATTATAAACTAAATATGAGTCAACAGTGTAATGCTGTTGCAAAAAAAGCAAACATCATTCTGGGATGTATTAGCAGGAGTACTGTAAGCAAAACACAAGAAGTAATTCTTCCGTGATGCATTTTTCATGGATGTAATTTTGGTAGGGCCCTAAGAATAAATGTCCACACAGGGCCTTAGTATGGAATAGCTACTGCATTTTAAATTCACACTGTAGCTCATTGGTTCTAATCTCAATCTTTCCTGACCACTGTGTCCCTTTCAGGAGTCTGAAGCCTGAGATCCACTGCCTGGGGCTAAAGCATATAACTTAGCTTCAGGGGCCTCCCTGTAGTGTAGGGTGCCAGGCAATTGCCCTGCTTGCACCCCCCCCCCCAGGTTGAGAAACACTAATGTAGATAACTAGACACACCGCCTGGAAGACTTCTGCGTACCCCCAGGGGGTACGCATACCCTTGGTTGAAAACCACTGCTCTAGTTTATTTTGCAATAATTTCCCTGTGTAGACAAGCCCTTTCCACTCGTGAGCAGTTTATATTCTGAGCAGCATGTCTGTCAGATACTCCGTAGCAAACACACAGAACCTCGCCTTCTTTTCTTTTCAGATCACTGTACTGTAGCTGTCCTCCCCATCATGAAGAAGCATTAAAGGCGGCAAGGCTAGGAACTTCTGCGCCCCTGCCCTGGCAGTGATACAAAGTGGCGAGTTTGTGCTGATACACCGGCGGCTCCCTGACATTGGCAGAGATGCTGCGTAGCACCGAGCATTTATCAGACTCTGACCACTGCAGTGACTTACACACCATGTAGCAGCAGAGCCAGGAGGCTGTGCAGCAAGCAACCTGTATGACGCTGTATCCCAGCACTTACTTTTACACTGGGCGGCATCTAGCCTTCCTGCTCCGAGCGTAACCACGGGGCACCGTGAGCACAGCGCCCCACCCGGGGGTCTCAGCGTGGAGTGGCTAACACGCGGGTGGCTGGGTGGGAACGGCTTCGGCGGGAGGCAGCTGAGCGGCCAGGCGGGCGGCGGGGAGAAGGGGGCTGGGCAGGGCAGGGCCTCAGGGAAGGCGGGAGAAGGGAGCTGAGTGGGCGGGAGACGGTGGCTGGGCAGGACAGGGCCTGAGGTAGGAAGGCGGGAACTGAGTGGCTGGGCTGGGCCTGAGGGAAGGTGGCTGAGTGGCCAGGCAGGGCCGGGCCGGCGGTGGGAAGGCGGGAGAAGGGGGCGGGGCGGGGCAGGGCCGGGAAGGCGGGAGAAGGGGGTGCGGAAGAGATACAGCTCGCAGAAAGGCCCAAGGCAGGACGCCAAAAAGAAGTTGGGGGAGGGGCGGGGCCGTGTACTAGCGTTCCCGTCTCCATGGTAACTGATGGAACGCTGCGTGTCTTCCCCGCCCTCCGGTAAAAGAGCCAGGGCGCAAGCGCGACGCAGTCGTTAGAGCGGAGAGCGCGGCCCGGTGCGGAGAGCGTTGGGATGGCGCATTACAAGGTGCGGGGCTGCAACTTCTTCCCGGAACCCACCGCCCTCGCTTGGTTCCCTCCCCTCCACCGGGGAGTCCCGGTATCCCGCTGGCTGCCTTCGCGCGGCCTCTGCGCCCTTCTCGGACAGGCCCGGGCGAAGCCGGCTCGCCGACCCCGGACCGCCCTGCCCCGCGCTAACGTTGTTCCCATCCTTCCCTCAGGCCGCGGACTCTAAGCGAGAGCAGTTCCGCCGCTACCTGGAGAAATCCGGGGTGCTGGACACGCTCACCAAAGGTAACTAGCTCCGAGCCGCTGCCCCCAGCGTGGGGGGAGGTAAATGCCCCCGCCCCCGCGCGGGGATCAAGTGGTGGCAGGGCCCTTTCTCTAGCAGCTGCTCTCCACGCACCCTCGCCTCCCAGTTTGGTCAGGTGGCAGGTGACCAGTAGCCCCTGTTGAGAATCCTGTGGGTCAAGACTTAAGATACTTGAGGTCTTATTTTTTCAGAGAACTTACTATTTCTGTAGCACTTTATATGTTCAAAGCAGAGTTCCACTTGATTTCAGTTGTAGTGTTGAGCACACCCCACTTCTGCAACTCTGACCCGTTGGCCCCTGATCCCTGGTACTCACTCCACACTGTGGGCACCTGTGAGTTTTGATCTAAGTGACTTGTTCAGCATTGCAAGATGCAGGTATAACATTCAGTTCTTCAGGGTGGCATTCAAGGTCTGTAACCATGAGACTATCCCTTTTCTCCCTATAATTCTCTGCTTTATTTGCTACACAACATCCAGTCTCTACAACAAAGGAGGCAGGGTTCTTGTAGACAAAACCACATTCACTACACAGTTCTGTTTGATTCCTGGTGCACTGAATGAGTCAGAAGTCCTGTAGGGTGAAAAAAAGTAGGTGATCATGTAACTAAAGAGTGTCATGCACATGTAAAAAGGGGGCACAAGCAGCCTTAATCCTGACACTTCTCTGCAGTCAGAATATTCCTTTCACATTTTTTATTTAATTTCACATTTAGAAACAAAAACTGACCAAATTTCATCTTGTGGAATCATATTGATCATCATATGGATTGTTAGCAGGTTTGTGACCTCTAGGTCAGAGGTGGGCAAACTACGGCCGGTGGGACTGTTCTCCCTGGCCCCTGAGCTCCTGGCCCGGGAGGCTGGCCCCTGGCCCCTCCCTTGCTGTTCCCCCTCCCCTGCAGCCTCAGCTCACTGTGCCACTGGCGCAATGCTCTGGGTGGCAGGGCAGTGCAGCTGCAGAGCCCGGCCTGACCCGTGCTCTGTGGTGCGTGGCTGCCTCCAGCCAGGCAGTGTGGCTGCCTGTCATGGTGCAGCCGTGCCGCCAGCCACTGGTGCTCCAGGCAGCGCGGTAAAGGGGCAAGGAATGGGAGAAGGGGGTTGGATAGAGGGCAGGGGAGTTCGGGGGGTGGTCGGGGGCCAGGGGTGTGGATAGGGGTTGGGGTGGTCAGAGGGTGGGGAACAGGGGGGTTGAATGGAGGTAGGAGTTCCAGGGGTGGTTAGGGAGAAGGGGTGGTTGGATGGGCAGGGGTCCCGGGGGAGGGCAATCAGGAAGGAGAGGGGGGTTGGATGTGGTGGCGGGGGCAGTTAGGGGCAGGAGGTCCGGGGGGCGGTCAGGGGACAGGGAGCAGGGGCGTTGGATGGGGCAGGAGTCCCAGGGGGCCATCAGGGGCAAGAAGCGTGGGGGGGAGGCGGATCAGGGGCCGGGCCATGCCTGCCTCCGAACCCCCCAGCCCAGAGCCTGCACCCCAACCCCTTGCTCTAGCCTGTTGAAAGTGAGTGAGGGTGGGGAGAGTAAGTGATAGAGGGAGGGGGGAATGGCGTGAACAGGGTGGGGCTTCGGGGAAGGGACGGGGCCTTGGGGAAGGGGCAGGGTAGATCCTGGGTTGATCTTAAATTCAAAAAGTGATCTTATGCCTAAAAAGGTTGGAGACCACTGATCTAAATCATTGATGAAGATATTGAACAGAACCGGACCCAGAACCAATCCCTGCAGGGCCCCACTCGTTATGCCCTTCCAGCATGACTGTGAACCGCTGATAAATACTCTGGGAATGGTTTTCCAACCAATTTTGCTCCCACCTTATAGTAGCTCCATCTAGGTTGCATTTCCCTAGGTTACGTCTTCACTACCCGCTGTATCAGCGGGTAGCAATCGATTTATCCGGGATCGATATATCGCGTCTCGTTAAGATGGGATACATTGATCCCCAATTGCGCTCACCGTCGACTCTGGAACTCCACCAGAGCAAGCGGCGGTAGCGCAGTCGACGGGGGAGCCGCGGCTGTTGATCCCGTGCTGTGTGGACCCCAGGTAATTTGATCCAAGATACTTCGACTTGCGTAAACCAGTGTAAACCAGCCCTTAGTTTCTTTATGAGAAGGTCATGCAAGACAGTATCAAAAGCTTTACTAAAGTCAAAATATACTGCTCCCCTCGGCCCCCCCAGCCACAAGGCTTGTTACCCTGTCAAAGAAAGTTATCAGGTTGGTTTGACATGATTTATTTTTGACAAATCCATGTTGACTTTCACTTATGACCTTATTATCTTCTAGATGTTTGCAAATTGATGGCTTCATTATTTCATATATTCATGTTGCCTGGGTGTAGCAGGTGCAGAATAGAGAGCACGGGAGTGTGTCTCCCTGCTCTCAGTTCTTGTGCCCAGCACTACATGTGGGCCCCCAGCAACTAGGAGGAGCAATTTCAAGAAAAGTCCTGAGCAGGCTCAGAGCAGACTGAATTTGGGAGAAATTTAGCTAACAAGTGTAACATACCTCTGCTGAGCAATTTCTTGGATCTCTGTAATTTGGGCCGACTTGTAATGGGGATGGCAAAAGACATACTCCTGAAACAAAGGCCATCCGTGTGCGAAACATAGAAGCACCAGAGATTCTTAGTCAAATGGCTGTAAGAATTTTTAACATGGGCAAAACAACTTTTTTGCATTAATTTCATTCAAGGAAACAGCTGAACTGTTGGGTACAACTTTCCAAAAATTTCAGCATGAGGCATGCACGTGGCATGTATGTAAAACTTCAGTCCAAATGTAGTTACTTTTAACTTAATAGTTTTTGACCAAACAGCCTCTCTCAATGGAAAATATTAAGCAACCTTACCCATAGGTCTAATTACCAGAGCTGGCTATAATCTGTGTTTTGGAAGTACCCAAATCCCCATATCTGGATTGGGATACCACTGGGTTAAATACTGAATGAACAAACAGAAAATCTGACAACTTCAGTAGAAATTCTGTGTTGGTTTTTATCCTGCCCTCATCAAAGGTCCCTACCTGTATAGCTCACAATCTAAGAAAGTCAAACAATATACAAAGAACTCAAGAGAGAGACAATTAAATATTTCTATATACTTTTTAGTTTTGTAATTGCATAAATATCCACTTCCTCAGCTGTTCCTTAGCCTATAAATCATGCATGGTTTTTTGTTTGTTTGTTTTGGGGTTTTTTATGTCTGTAATGGCAAAATTAGTCCTAATGCTTCTCCCCTCTCCTCTTATTTTTGTCATAAGTACTTAGTGAAAAGACTATGCAAATATAGTGGTGCATAACAAAAGTCTGTCAGAGAGAAAATAGGCATTATGCTAATGAAAATGTATCACAAAATGCTGCATGTGCATACTTAAGCTTGTAGAAAACATGGTATCTTGAGTTTCAGGAATAGTCTGTTAAGTAATTAAAGGCTGCGTCATAATACATTTTCACAAGCAGACAGTCAAGGTTGCAAGTTAAACTGTGCAACCTTAACATTCTTGTTATTCTTTTTGGATGGGATATATACACTAATTCAAAGGGTATTATAGAAAGTGTTCTCATAGCTTTCCATTCTTTATTTTTTGTTTCTAATATATTGAACATTTGTTTTATATATTTCTAGCTAGCTTATATTTTCTCCTTGAATGAAAATGAAAGCAAGTAATCTCTGTTTAATTGCTTTATGAAGTGCTGCCATAGATTTTAGGTCAAAACTATTCCGTAAAATGGAGTATCTGGAGACTCAATACAGGCATCACACTTTGGTTTGTCTCACAGTTGGTAGGGATAGTCTACCACTGTACCAAGTTTCAGATGATAGTGAATGTTTTAGACTGGAGTTAAGTTACACATACGTTCCGTCTTTTCATTTAAGAAACGTGTTATGAGTGCAGATCAGCTTACTCACTTTCACCACTCCATGGTGAATACATATTTAGAGTGTGAAGGACACTTCACTCCACATGCAGTCTTTTTAATGTGGGTAAGTTTAGCTGAAGTCAGTCTTTTTGCCACTTTCAGATAAATCAGTGTGCTCCATTTGGTGGCTCTAAAGCTGTTGTTGCTCACTAACAAACTAGTCTAAAAGGATGTAGCTACTCTTCAGTTAACTGACAGTGAACTCTAGTAGCTAACACAGTTGTCCTGGAAGGGAAGTTTCGGAGTCCAAAATTACATGAACAAGTGTTGGGAGTGTCCAGGCTAGCAAGTTAAGATGTGTTGGCTAACTTGACAATACATTAACTTGGTACCTACAACAATGGTGTTCTATTCCCAGTCACTGATCAGTTTAAAAACAAAAAATCTTCAAGTGCGGACATACTGATAGTGATAAATCGTATTCATTTTGGCTTCATTCCAAGTCCAGAAATCTAAGTATTAATTAGTCAACAGGAGAACTGGTGGCTCAGGCTCTTTTAAGGATTCAGTCAACAAAGTGTTGAACAATGAATACTTCAGAAGTTCGTGCCATGTGGCTGTCTTTGGTGCACATCTGTGTTAACTCAAAATATTAGTTATTGAGAGTACACCTCTACCCCGATATAACGCGACACGATATAACACGAATTTGGATATAACGCGGTAAAGCATTGCTCTCCGGGGGGCGGGGCTGCGCACTCCGGCAGATCAAAGCAAGTTCGATATAACACTGTTTCACCTATAACGCAGTAAGATTTTTTTTTGGCTCCCGAGGACAGTGTTATATCGAGGTAGAGGTGTACTATACTCAATGTAACACTCTGAATGCCCCTGGAGATGAGCACAACAATACATGGATGATGGAGGAGCCAAGTGTGGGACTGTAAGAGTGCAACTGCATTCTTGAGACACCTTTTAGGATTCTTGCTTCCACTTTAGAAGCAAAGCAGCAAGTGGGTGCGATTTGTTTATTTCCCCTGCCCCCCCCAGTAAAGGAGGCCTGGTGATGGAGGAGAATGTTGAGTTTTCCAAACTTAGTAAAGGAGATTCTGTCTTTGGCTACACTAGAGAGCTTGCAGTGGCGCAGCTGCACCACTGTAAGACCTCTAGTGTAGCTGCTCTAAGATGACGGGAGAGAGGTCTCCCATTGGCTTAATTACTCCATCCCTCGCAAGTGGTGGTAGCTATATCAGTAGGAGAAGCTCTCTGGCTGACATAGTGCTGTCCACACCAGCGCTTAAATGGGCATAAGTTATGTTGCTCAGGAGGGTGGCTAATTCACTCCCCTGAGCAACATAATTTATGTTGATTTTAAGATGTAGTGTAGATTACTTCAGATTACCTTTGTTACAAGATAAGTAACAAATATGATAGGCAACTACTTTACTGGTAGTGAATGTATATATCCTGGAACTATTATTAAATAGCTATTAATTTGATTAGTTTATGGAAAAATATAACTGCTTGAAAGTCACTTGCAATGTTTGTGTTTATGTAAATGCAGAATTTAGTGCAAATATTTAGCTTTACAGCTCATTAAAGAATTGTTGAAAAAAAGCTTATTCAAAGTAATTCCAGCTATATAACTGTCAAAGCTTATGTTGGATGCACATGAGTCTCTCAGTAATACTCTGTATAATCACTAATACCTGTTCATTGTCC